GAGAATGTGAAAAATTAAACGTGTGCGTACAATTTGCTATTATTTCGTTCGTCGAGAATTTATCAACTGAAACATGTCGGAATTTGTACGCAAAAATATATATAAAAAAAACAAATACATATATGTATATATATATATATATATGNGGCATTTGTCTCGTCGAACTGAATTATTCGATATCATTCGAAGTATACGCAGGTTATTGTCGTTAGATGAAATAGAAATAGAAATTTAAAATAGAAATTTACATTCTTGCGATCCGTAACTAAATGACGATACAATACTTCTATCCTCTATTGTTATTATCAGTTCTAATCATTGACGAACAAAATTGACAAAACCGACTGAAATGATTCAAGTTCTAAATCATATTAAAGTCTACAGTAATAATTGTTCGATCAAGTAATTATATCCAAAACATTCTTATCATTTTTACTATTAACGATAAACAGATTAAATTAATTTGCTGATTAAAGTCGTATTTCAGTATGCGATAAATTTACATGTACACATAAAAAGACTACTTAGTGCATCTGTTTCCATGACATAATTGAAATGAAAAGAAGAAGCCATTAACGTAATTGAAAGAGGAAGTTGAACAAATTTCTTTAATGAAACAACCATGTTTTCATAATACCTTTGTAAATATTAAGAGAAGATAAATTGTATTGCAACAACTTCTGTTTCGTGTATATTTCAAGTCGGCAATCTTCACAGACGATAAGGTATATTCTTTCCTGCAGTTTGTATAATTTGTTCTCATAAAACAAGACTATGGCAGTTTAAATAAGTAGCGACTGATGCACCGATCGTTTTCAACGAATAATCGAAACGGTAGTGGAAGTAACACTAGACATAATGTGGCGATTGTTCTTAAGAATCATAGGATGCAAATGGGATAGTCGATATGATTAAATACGGGTGAACCTAGATATTACTCCTTCGTGCCTCCGACTTTCGCAACTAAAGCGCAACAGAAGCTGCGGCTAGGGGTGGAAAAGGATACCGGGAGGCGAGGATCGAAGGGAGGGGAGGACGTAAATAACATAATTTTACGATCAGAGAAAACGTGAAGGAAGTAGAGAAGTAGAAGAAGAATATAGACAAGATAGTGAGCCGTACGTTCGTTTTACGGCGTTCCTCATAATAAAAGCGGCTAACATCTACAAGTTTTAGAAACGACCGTGTACTTGGTAACGTCTAGCTGTGCTCAGCAAGTACAGAACGATTCCCGAGAATGTGAAAAATTAAACGTGTGCGTACAATTTGCTATTATTTCGTTCGTCGAGAATTTATCAACTGAAACATGTCGGAATTTGTACGCAAAAATATATATAAAAAAAACAAATACATATATGTATATATATATATATATATGTATATATAGATATATGTATATATATATATATATATATATATATATATCATATATGTATATATAGATATCAAAAACAGAAGAAAATTTTCAAAAAGAAATCAGAACAATGTTACCAATAAATTCACAGAAAAATAATTAGAAAATGAGAAAAGGCTAAAACTAATATTACGTAGAAGAGCGAGTAATGATACAAGCACCAAGTCGACCAAATATCGTCAAAGGATATGTAAAAAACAAGGGAAGCAGGAAGCGAGGCTAAGACTGTGAGCAATAATGGGCGCAATATCGAGTAATACACGAGTATATATGTAGTATATATAATATATTATATAATACTATATATATATATATCTTTCTTTGTACATATATTTATATTTCAAGAACATACACACACACACACACATGTATGTGTACATATATTTATATATGGTCCTATATATATATATAGGATTGTATTACTAGGGATTAGCGAGTTGTTGGGAAGTTCTGTTTCGATAGAAAGAGATGAAATAAGAAGAAGCATTAATAAAACAAATATTCATGCATTTCTCAAGCATTATTATTACAAATACTGGCTGACTCCTTGACAAACCCCGTGAGCGTGCACGCGCGAAAACGCATTCGGGACCTTCGAAGACTCGTTTCTTATTTGTTTCTTAACTTTTTCTGTTTTCATTAAGCTATCGTCTCGCAATCATTTCAAACTTGTTGCTGGAACTCTATTCTGTTTTTTTTTCTTTTTCATTGAGTCGATGACGCAGATTACACGTGGTTAGATCTCCTATACGATCTATATATGTATTTTTTTGTTTGTTTTCAATCAAATGGACGACGTGTCAGTCTCGTGAGACGTCTTCTCGCAACACGCGGCTTTATCACGCTCTCTACGTGATATCGTGCAACGTGTGTGTGTGTGAGAATGTGAACGTGTACATGTGTGTGCGCATACGCGTCTACATGCATATAAAGGGTCCAAGATTATAGAGAAACCTCTTTAAACACAATTATACGATCATGAAAATTTCGTTACATTCTGAAAACTTGTGCACACACTGCTCTTATTTGATCCGCACGTATATGTGCGTGTACGCACGCAAGCATGGTGTTTACGCGTATCCGCGTGTATTATGTGGCGCCTAAACAAAAGATGCGGGACGAAACGGTACACAGTTATAAATTACTATTTATACGCGTGTAATATACGTAGTTTCGTCGTTAAATGTGTTTCCTCTCTTATCGTTTATAATCCTTAGTCGACAGTTTAATACATGATTTCATTAGTATTATTATTATTATTATTATATATGCTTATCTGCCTATTACTCCGCGAACTTATGTCTACCTTTCTCTTTTCGTTGCACGATATCTATATGCAACACTGATCATGTATTTAGGGTTTTCGTCATATTTATTATGTACGTATGTATAGATTTATATATAAATATAATAATATGTATGTATGTATGTATGGATGTATGCATGTTCGTACATATATATATATACATATATACATAAGTATATATACGTATATACTTATCTACATAAATATATATATATATATATGTGAATACCGGGTAAGTTAACCAGACGTTGTGCTTCTTACGTGTTTTCTTCGTCGAATTACTTCGGGTACTTCGGTACACGTGTGTTCTTCGTGTGCGACGGTGTATGAGTGCAGGGGGAAGGCACTTCTGCTGTTTTTCGTTCGATCTTTCGCCGGAAAACTCGGAACCGCAGTTCATCTTTTTGACTGATTGTCCATCGAACATGACTTCGATCGTGGAAGTTGTCAAATTATGTCGTAAATACGAATCGGAACAGGAAACTCCGCGGAGAATGAGGAACACAAACGCGTACACGCTACTTTTCCATCTTTTTCGATTACTGTCGAGTAAATTGTAAATGTCGACGCAAAAATTCCCATAAAGACTTTCAACCATTATTCGAAAGATTGTGTGAAATAAAAGATAGGTGGAATTAATTGTCATTGATGCAGCGGCTACAATGCGCGATGCAAGAGAACTGGCACTGATCACTGTGTAACGGAATTATTAATATTATATTAAAAAAATCTTCAGGAAATGTATTCTTATGGGCAAAAAGGGACGGCAGGTTCTCGAGTCCGACGAAGATCTGAGAAAAATCAGCCACCCTCTCGATAGTGTACAAGAGTGAACAACAAGTCAAGGAACACTGGAGTCGTCGGTTCGAGTGCACGAGTCTTCCGAAACCGAGGAGTACGTGTAACAGCTCAATTTGTTTGTTCTAGGAGGCCGTTCGAAATTGCGTATGATCCGTCAGGATCGCGTGTGTCGTATGTGTCTGTGTAAAGCGCGCGCACGCGCGCGAATGTGTGTACTCCGGTATATTCGTGTCATCTATAGATGCATCCGGTTGTTACACATCGAAAAAAAACTATCACAACGTATCGCCTTTAGAGGTATTTCAGCTAGCGCAGAACAAAGACAGCCTCTCCGCTCTGTTTTGTTCGATGAACGATACAAAAGTTAACCGTCGTACACTCCGCCGCTATGGAAGACCGTGTTTCTGAACGATGTTACGCTCAGAGGGGTAGCCATATGGATGCCACAAATTTATTGTTTTGTGCGTGTGAGCGCGCTCTGTGCAATGTGTGCTGTGTCTTCGCGATGAAGACGGAGAAGATGCCTTTGCTTCTCGCGTACGAGCAAAGGGAACCGTGGCAACACGCGCACACACACATCGGAATATAGATTTGAACGGCGAGACGATTCATTCTTCACGAGTTTGCTTAAACAGTAAGCAATTTCATTCGAAATTCTGGATTAAATCGCGAGAAGATTAAATCTACGGTTAGATTAGGCCGCTTTTAAGGCATAGTGAACGATTCTTCGAAGCTTGGGAATCTTTCCTTCACTGTGTTCAATAAAATGTAATCGGAAAGATATAGATAATTAAAAAAGTCTCGAGAGAGTATATTCACGACTTTTCTATACACAAGTTAATTTATAACGCGTGTTGACGTAAGTGTGCCATTGATTTCGACAAATAGTCGTCAATTTTTGTCACATTTTAAAACTGAAAATGCTACAGTTCGATATTTGTTTAAAAAGGAAATCATAGATAAAAGACGTAGTGTAATTTGGTGACTTCGATGCGTGGCGAGAATACCTAAAACATTTTAAAATTAGATTCGCATGTTAGCACGGTTCCATTAGCTCCGTTAATAATGTAAAGAAATTTCTTATTTACACGTACATAGATCTACATATACACGTGTATGCATATAATATACACTCATACATGCAGTATACATTACATGTACATGTAATATGTATATATATATATACAATACACGTGTATATCCATCCTCGTCAGTACTACCGTCTTGACTAAAACAGGCTTTCAAATCACTGGCAAATACGTGTACGAGTACACAGAAGAGAGCAATTAATTCTATACGAGCAACAGAGTTCTCGTTACGTCGTTATTCCGTTCGGACGTTATCCTCTTCTCCATAAGAAATGCACAATTACTAAAGTACGTTGACACGTATGCGTGTATTTGCCCTCTGTAGAGTGTTCGTGTGTCAGTTTTTTGAACGGTTTTGTGCGGTCGTGTGTCAATTAATGCGCATGTGAACTCGTTTTTCATTTTCTGTTATCTGTTATTAGTCTTATATTTCCTTTATCTCTTCTCTCAAGATCAGCCTCCTGGTTATTCTCATCTTTTTTTGTTGTTTTTGTTTTTGTTTTTCTCCCTCGCAAGTTCGTGTAAATGCATGTAATATTTGTCATTCGTTTACTCTGATTTCCGCTTAGGTTCGCTCGTAATCATCTCTTCACTCGACTAAATGCATAAGCTCGAAAGTTGCAATTGACGAGGTTCACTGTGTGCAACAAACTCCCCCGAGTTGAATTCACAAAGGACAGAAGGATGACGCCTCGTGTTTCACATGCTAATTAAATACTATCTAGATAAATATATTATTAATATTATCAATATTACCATTATTATAGCCCTAAATAAAATAAGATAGGACGATGTCTCTGCTAAATCTATGCATATGTTAATTATATATATATATTTATATTTATATATTATATACACATGACCCAGCCGAATAATATGTAAAGACGGTCGCAGCGTATTTTCTTGTGAAAAAATTCGGAAAAAAGTAGCTACCCGTACGGTGTAATTCGCCATGCAACGTATGCAACGGTATTGATTGTAAGCAATATCTACGCGACATTTAGAAGTTATAGGATTCAGGAAAGAATAAAAAATATTCTTATAAGAATACGATGTTATCATCACAATTACTGCACTGCTGAAATTAATGTCCTCTTTCCTGTATACGTAGTTACACACGTCTCGTACAAATCGTAGAGCATTGCTTTGCAGTCAAAGTAAGTGTTACGCGTCGTATGGCGAATAGATCGAAGTTGAACGGAACGGATTTTCGAACTCGTTTCTTTCAAAAACGAAATCTGAGATGCACAAATAATGTTCTACTACGTTTCCCGATGTTTTCACGATGTATCAACGTACACACCCGCTTGCACGCATTGTTCGGCCGGACCCTGTATATGAATTAAAAGGACTGCCACGAACACGACGGCATTTCCATTTCAATCTTATCGATGTGCAAGGTGTTTCTAGGAAACATACGTTACTATAGTTCAATTAATCCCTAAAACTAAATAGAGGGGAGAGAGATCGGGTCGGTGGAAATATCGTTCGGGAAAAGATTGGAGGTCTAGAATATAAGAATTGAATAACAGAATATTTTCATAGTACGGTCAACGGGAGTCTAGAAACCTCCTGGTAATTAAATTTCCCTGTTTCTCCTTTCCTTTTTGTTTCCAACCGTCCCCTCTCCTCCCCCCTCCTGCTCTTTTAGAGTGAGCTGTACGTTAAACGATCAAAATTAAAATCTGGGAAAACGATAAACGAACAATATATATATAGTGAATAAAATCAATCGACGTCGAATAATGAACAATCGACTGAGAAACATAAAAATGTACGCCGAAACCAGCCAACTAGATTTAAATTCATTTTGTCCCTACGGATTTAAAAAGGCAAGTGTCGCGCACGTGAATTAGGTGACTTAGGCCGAACATGGTTTTCGTCCATTCTGGCGTATCTGCGCTTTCTATATGTATATACACATATTATATTCGTATGATATTTATATGTATATAGACACAGCATCTTCGAAATATATTCGAAATATATTGAAAATATATTGAAAATATATTTTCCGATATAAGAAGAATAGAGTAAAATTCTGAGGAAACACTTCTTTTTCGAATATTATCGCAACAGATAAAATAATATACATTAAACAAAAAACGGAACAAGTCGCGCGATGTCACGGCGCAATAGAAATTTTTAACAAAAGTAAAATTATTTCTAAGTACGGCTACTACGACCGACGAATTTTGTTCTATAAATAAAAATTGTGTCTATGAACTAAGGAACGCTGAACGGCGTTATGGGAAGAAAACGGAGAAATTATTAAGAAAAATCCCGATGACTCGTGCAAACCGCAAAAATTTCAACTCTGGCAAGTCTTCATAGATCCACTTTAACAGACGGTACGTACGAGATAAAAACATAAAACAATGGATAAATACGCCTTTCGTGGACGTCTCAAGTTATTGAAAGTATACAGTTATGTTAATCGTTAAATAAAAACGAAGAAATTGAGGATGACTTAAATAGTCTTCGCGTTGTTAGTCTTTACATAGTTCAGAACGCTTTAAAGTGGAATCGGGTCAATAAGGCACTGTTCACCGACAATGTCTGACTAGAAAATGAATCTATTTTCGGAACTCTTGTTTATTTCTTAACTTTTCCTCGTCTTTTCTTCTAACAATTCAATTCTCGTTTCGCATTTGCTCGGTTCGTATTCTCTCTTTCGTGGACGGGACCGCGTGCGGTTTCTACAGTTCGCTCAATTCCTCGTTATAGTATCATTTATTTAACTAACAATACACTAGGTGCTTCGATCCCTAATATCTTTAACAACGAATACAAAAGAAATTTCACTTTTTAAATTGATTGTTAACTCTCACACGGTTTTTGACAAGATCGCTACACGTCTCGGTTTCGATTAGTTTGCATATTATAGAATATTATTCGATTATCGTTGATAACGTCTACACCGTATCGAGAAGAACAAGTATTTAATTGATTCTTTTCACTTTCATCATTACAAATATCCCTTTCACTTATCTTTTATCTAAAAAAATGTGTAGCGGTGCTTATCTACTCAGCTACTGAAAATACGTTGAAAACTGACGCTGAAGAAAACGAAGCTGAGATGAGTTCGATCGATTGTAGCATTTTCTTCTAATTTTCCAAGATTCGAACGATCTTCGTTTTACACGGACCGAAATGACATCGTGAACGTTGATGATCGTTTTAACTTTGAAGCTTCACTAAACTCAGGATAAATGAATAACTTTTCGGAAAATCGTGACACTGCAAGTAGAACACTAGATGCCTGAAATTTTCGAGAGAAATGAGGATACGTCTGTAAACATCCTAGCTCCCTTAAAAGTATGATCGCTTGTGATTAAAACAAGCACGTTCGCATATTAATTCTATCATTTTCTCTTCGTCGAGATCATTCTCACTTCGATTATCAAAATTCAGACTGTTCGTACAATAGAACCAGACCAAAATCTAGCGTGCCGTAGTTCCCGAAAGTAGTTCCCAAGGAAGGATCTTACGGGTACACCGAGAGACCGTGCGAGCGTCATAAGAATAATCCGATCGTAGCCGGAAGGAACACGCGAAACTCGAAGACCGACGCGCGCCGTTCGCGGTCGAAAGAGAGAATGCAAAGGGCCCAGAAGAAGGAACCAGATATTCAGCAGCAAGAGAAGCAAGTCTTCCCTCGTGTTCCCCAAAGAAAAAACAGTTTACGAAGTCTTCATCTTTTTGTATGGCTGCATGATCACACCAGAACTCACGGGGATAGCTACCTGCGGTTGCGCCGCGATGGTAGCAGGATTCGGTATCTGTGGAATTTGTGGAACACTCGGAACACCGGCTGTTGCCACGCCAGCAGCGACTCCAGGAACACCGGGAAGAACCGTGTACGGATTCTGTACGTATGGGCTGCCTTGGACCGCCGCGCTGGGAACGGTCTGTATCGAGGCGTAAGGATTCGGTAGGATCTGCTGCCTCATGAGAGAGTAAGGATTGATGTGAGTGCCCGCCGGTGGTCTCGAATAGGCTAAAAGTCCAGCAGACAATGGAGAAGTCAAGGCTCCTGGAATACCAGCTAGGTTGGGAATTACTGGCCTGGGTGTCGCTGCTGTAGCTTGTAATCCTGCTACCGCTGGGTTCCCTGCTGCAGCCGCAGCTGCAGGATTCACGAGAGCCTGTTTGTTTAAAGCTACGCCGGTGTAATTCAGCGCCGTCAGCTGGTTAATAGGATACGATTGAGACGCCTGAGACAGTTTAATAGCTTTCGCGTAATTCTTCTGGGCAACCTCTTTCGCCAGAGCTGCTGGATCGAGATGAGCTGGCAACCCGGACGCCATGCCAAGGCTGTTCAGCATGTTCAGACCGGCAACGTTCGAGGCGTTGTAATTCGACATTGATGCCATGTTCGTCACCGACGGTACATTCGACATGTTCGCCATCGAAGCCATAGAGGCCATGGAAACCATATTGACTACACCCGGCATCGAAGTTAACCCGGCGACTGAAGTCAACGGGCTCATCGCGGGCTGCACGGAAGCGGCGGACAACGCCAACTGATTCTGTAACTGTTGCTGTTGCTGTTGTTGCAACTGATGCTGTTGTTGCAACTGTTGTTGTTGTTGTTGATGTTGATGTTGTTGTTGTTGCTGTTGCTGCTGTTGAGCCTGTTGCTGTTGGTGCTGCTGATGTTGCTGATGCTGGGTTTGCTGGGTTTGCTGATGCTGAGGTTGCTGTTGAGTAATCGTCGAAGGACTCGAGTGATTCAATTCGGGGGAGTTATGCGCGTTTTCAGCATCGTGATTTTGCGTAGTATTCGGCTGCTTGTTACTGCTGTTACTATTGTTACTGTTATTGTCAGCAGTTGGAGGTGGTGGCGGTGGGTTGTTGCAGGGATCCATCAGCACGCCATTGTTGGCGTCGGCGCAGTTATTGACTGTGGCGCCACTGGTTCCCTGGGAGGAGGAGGAGGACTGAACCACCACCGCGTGGTGGTTGCTTTGCACGTTCGGAGGTTGCACGACCGATTGGTTAGAGGTTTGGGTGGGTAGGGGTGGTGTTCCAGTGTACTCACATGACACAGGCACGAAGGGCTGCTGCAACTGCATTAACTGTTGGTAGGTCGTCGCACTGGTAGGCTGATAGACCGGCATGCCGGACTTGTCGCCCGCCGGTCGTTTATACGGAACCATTCCTGGGAAGGCCTGGAAAAGGAAGCGCATATACGTTTACGGTTAGTGATGCCGGCACGATGTTTTTATAGAGGCTCGAATCGAAACTTCGTCGAAGGGCCTCGATCTTCGACTCGTGTATTTCTTTATTATCTTTTCTCTTGCTCGCTCGCATTAAGTTCCCTCCTCTCTTTTTTTATGCAATTCTTTGCCTCTTGATCCAGCGGAGCAGGGAAATTGGTTCGAGGTCTTCCACGGTATCTCGCAAGAAAACGTAGTTTAACTTTCGAAACGCGCGTCTCGGTATACTAACGACAAAGGACTTCGGTACTTTCGATTTCAACAATTGTTTTCTCTTCAGAATCTAATTGCACGAACGACTCGAGTCGTTTGGAAAGCGATATACAGTAATTTCTCCCTGATGCGCGCTCAGATTGCGCGCAAAAATGGACAATTTGGGAANGGTTCCCTGGGAGGAGGAGGAGGACTGAACCACCACCGCGTGGTGGTTGCTTTGCACGTTCGGAGGTTGCACGACCGATTGGTTAGAGGTTTGGGTGGGTAGGGGTGGTGTTCCAGTGTACTCACATGACACAGGCACGAAGGGCTGCTGCAACTGCATTAACTGTTGGTAGGTCGTCGCACTGGTAGGCTGATAGACCGGCATGCCGGACTTGTCGCCCGCCGGTCGTTTATACGGAACCATTCCTGGGAAGGCCTGGAAAAGGAAGCGCATATACGTTTACGGTTAGTGATGCCGGCACGATGTTTTTATAGAGGCTCGAATCGAAACTTCGTCGAAGGGCCTCGATCTTCGACTCGTGTATTTCTTTATTATCTTTTCTCTTGCTCGCTCGCATTAAGTTCCCTCCTCTCTTTTTTTATGCAATTCTTTGCCTCTTGATCCAGCGGAGCAGGGAAATTGGTTCGAGGTCTTCCACGGTATCTCGCAAGAAAACGTAGTTTAACTTTCGAAACGCGCGTCTCGGTATACTAACGACAAAGGACTTCGGTACTTTCGATTTCAACAATTGTTTTCTCTTCAGAATCTAATTGCACGAACGACTCGAGTCGTTTGGAAAGCGATATACAGTAATTTCTCCCTGATGCGCGCTCAGATTGCGCGCAAAAATGGACAATTTGGGAAGAGGAGATACGATTATTCGAGCCTTGCGGCTCGTTTTTATACTTGTTGACGATCGGTCTAATCGAATCTCTTCTTCCCAAATTGTCTACTTTTGCGCGTAATCTCAGCGCGAATTAGGGAGAAATTATTGTATATATACATACATAGTATCGATACAAAAACGGTGCATAGTTTTTTCATTATTCTCGTCCTTTTTTTTTGTAGTAGACACACGAACGTGAAAAGCGAATAAGTAAAGTTAAACTGGGTGAGAACGGTATGATTCAATGGTTAGATTCTGCACTTACAAAGTTCTCGTAGTAGAACGATCCGACAGACTTCACGTCCATCTGCAACAAAGACAGGATTGGTTTCAACTAATTTCTAGGAGAAGGCTGCGTTCGTATTATTGAATATTAAATCAATGGAATGATGGTAATTGAAGGAAAAGGTTCATTGGAGATTGGTTAATTTTTCAGAAAAACAGAATAATTCAGGGGATTGCACACGAAAATAGTGGGCTTGTAGTAGTAACAAGTAAACAACAATAATAATAAGATTAATAGTAATAATAACAACAATAAAAGTAATAATAATGATAATAATAATAGTAATAATAACGATGATAATAATAATAGTAATAATAATGATAATAATAATATAATAGTAATAATAATGATAATATAGTAGTGGTGGTAGTGTGTGAAAGTTGTGCCGATGACGCAGCTTGCGGCGACGTTCCCAAATGACGACGTTCGTTGTTGGATAACTGTAAAATGTTCAGTATTCTTTCTTTCGCTCCCCTTTGTTTCAACTATTTGAGAAAGTAAAGCGTGTCAGAAAGACCAGCCACAGTTTCTGTTATAGAAGAAGACCGTCACGGGCCAATTAAACTGAGAATCGATGGTCCTGTTTTAATTGGAGAATCAAATAAATCCATTAAAAATGTATCACCGGCGAACATGAACTCGGAACGTGACCGTTCTCCGATTGATCGAGAAAAGAAGGATTTCTTTTTGCTTCGGTTTTACGGATGGAAGTTCCCCGAGCTGTTCGCCATATTCCGTTCGTGTGACGCAACAGTCGTACTATAATTGTAGTAAAGCAAGAAACCCTCCTCAAGACCAAAGAAAGAGAAGAGAAAATGTAGGAATTAAATATAGAGAGGGTTCGGGGCCAAACAAATCTGATTAGACGTTCCTCGATCGACTGTACACGTCGACGACAATCACGGGGAACAACAATGCGACAAATGAAAAAGTTGTATAGATTGAAGTGGTAAAAGTTAGAAGCTGCATAGTACGGATGCAAAAGCTGGAAAGCTAGTAAGGTCCGAGTAGAGTGGGGGGGAACTGTGTAAATTGTGAATTGTTACGACAAATGTTTGCATATCTCGATGTACAATATTACATATGAATATTGGAGTAACACGCAGAGAAACGAAATACACAAGTATAAATTTTGTCGGAGAATAACTTGCTGGTTACAAAGGAAGACTGGGAGCATTATTGCAAGCTCGGATGCAGTGAAAATAGATCCGACTAATTTTACGGTTCTTCGAAGACATATACAAGATGCTGAAACTTAATGGTATGTGTGTCTGATAACGTCGTGTGCCCGAGTTGTTTGTGAATTATTGAATATTCTGCAAGTAACGGACAACGCGAGAGAAGTTACATCAAAATTTTATAATACGAATCATGGCATTATTTATTGGATTCTTGCTAGAATGGATACTATTTCAAATCAATTATAATTTAAATTTCTATTAAAAATCTCTTATAATTCAAATTCATAATAAAAATTCATTATAATTGATATCACTTCTACTTAAAATCGATTAACTTAGATTTCTATTAAAAATCTATCATAATTTAAATTTTTACTCAAACGTCTATAAAAATTTAGTATAGTCTAGAATCCTATAAAAATCTATTATAACTCAAGAGAAATTTCTCTTGGCCGTGCAATGAAATGGGGGGGGGGGGGGAAAATTTTTTTAA